CCAGTAAAGGAGTGTTGATCTTGGAGAGTCCACCATCATAACAATCAAAGTCCAAGCCACTAGCAGCAAAACACTTCAAATGAATGGTTATAACTTCAGGCATTTTGTCAAACAGAAGACTTCGTTCAGCTTCAGTATAATGATGGCAATTTTCACAGAAATATTTATCTTCTCCAACAATCCTCTCCACTGAAGCAAATTGTGAAATTGCCCACCTCAGGGTCTTCGTTTCTGTTTTTGGCTCTGGGGAAATTTCAGAACTCTCCTCTACTTTAGAGAGCTTCTCTTCTTGTACTGGCACACTGATGTCTCGAAAATCTTCTATTCTTTCTGTTAGACTTTCACATTCTAAACAGCGAGTTCTTAATACCAGCTGACCTTGAAATAACTTCTCTACAAGCTCAAAACCAATTTGCTCTGTGCCTTTGTTGATGGGCTTAACGTCATTGCCATTAATGGACTTAACATTATGTCCTGGAGCTTCAAGTCCACGGCCAATAACTGTGTTATCATTTTCACACTTCCCAGAGTCCTCTTCAAGATCATCTTCATTTTCTTTAGATTGTCCTTTGGATCCTTGGTTTATTTTCCCCAAACTACAGAATTTAGAAAGGATGCTGGGTTGCTTAGTTGCAGACTTTAACCAACTTATTTTAACTTTTGATTTCTTCTGTGAGGGTCTTGCACTCTCATTTGCAGGAATGTGCTTAGTGACTGTTTTAGGAGGAATCTCTAATATATCACCTGTAGCTTTTCTTTTTGATCTGGTTTGTCTCTGGTTCTCTTCCAATGACTGGTGTTCCTTGGATACCTTAACCTTTTTCTTCATGTTACCAAATTCAGTGTCACTTTTTCTCTTCCCATTTCCTTTTGGGAGTTTTTCTTTATAGCCTTCAGTATGGCCCATATTGTCCATCTCTGTGCTATTAACCCCATTAATTGCCTCTCTCTGATTAGGTTTTTCTTCTACCTTGTCAGATAATTCTGCCACATTTTTTACTTCTTCTTTTTTTAGGAGTTGGCATGTTTCTTGAATGTTTCCCAAAATACACTGTAATACTTCCTGTGCATCTTGCTGTAGATATCCTTCGTACATAGGGTTGAGTTCCCTGAGTGTGTTAAGTAGTCGTCTTGGCTGAGTAGCAAGTTCATCAGTGTATCTTTCTGGATTTAAAAGAAAACTAGCCTGAAGCTGTTCAACTGAAATGATGAAGGACTGTAAACTGCATATGAGTTCATAACTTATCAAAGAGTCTTCTTTACAATTTTCCTTCTCTTTTTGATTGGCTTCATCTTTAAGAGCTTCTTTCTTCCTTGAAATAATATTAAATAAGTGCTTCACTCCAGATTTAAAACCAGGACAAAAATATAATACCTGAAGTATACTATTAAGGTAACAAGTATTGCCAAGATTATTTAGCCCCACAAATGGTAACAAGTTTTCTCTCTTCTCACAATTCATAGGTGAGGACTGTGCCGCAGGAACAACTTGATCAATTTCAGATCCTCTATAATCAGAAGAAACCTTTTCTTCATTTTCTTGAGAATCTGTGAAATCCAAGGCTCTCTTAGTTTCCTTTTTCTGAAAAAACTTAAAGGAAAGTCTGTTTTTCTTTGATGGACTACCTCTTGAAAGCCCATTACTTTCATTAGGTATGACACCAGGCATTTTTTCTTCCAATACCAAAGAGTTGACAAATACTGATTTATATACGGACGTTATAATCACCAATTATATCTCGGGGTCCCTGTTCGGGTGCTAGATGTTGGGGTCCAGCCTCAACAGGTCCAAGGAAGTAACTGAAGGAGATTATTCTAAGTAAAGATGATGTAGTTTAAGCATGATTGTTCACAGTTAAAGTAACTTCAGGGGGAAATCCCTACCAGGGGAAACAACCTTTCTCAGAGAGGTGACCTTGGTTAAAACACACAGCGCCAAGAAGGGGAGCAAACATATTAAGAACAGTATGCCATATATGCCAGGTCCCTTGAAACATATGCTGTGCAGATGTTTCTTCCCTGCAGCGACTGTGTCAAGCAGCAAGGATGGACAGGCTTCTGGCAACCAGGAAAGGATTTCGATTATTCAGGCAGGATATGATGGTGGCTGAGGGTGGCAGCAGGCAGGGAGAAGGGGTGGACTCCACTCCAGATACATTTTGAAGGCAGAGCTGGTTGGATTTCCTGACAGGTTGGATGTGGGGCACAAGAGAAAAAGTCAGGATGCCTGCAAGACTTTTCACCTGAGCACCTATCTGTAAGGATGGAGTTGTCACTAGTTGATAGGGGAGGACTGAGTAAATCAGGCTGCGGCAGGAGATCCAGAGTTCAGGCTTGGATATGCTGGGTTCAAGGGTTATACCAGTCATCCAGGTGGAGAAGTTGCATGAACAGTTAGGTTATTCCAGGCTGGAATTCAGGAAGAAAGTCTGGGCTAGAAATGTAAATTTCAGAGTCAGTGTGTGGCTAGCATTTGAAGCTGGATGAGATCACTACTGAGAGACTGTGGGTAAAGGAGTGACTTGTATAGTCCAGGAGGGAGGTCAGAGGTCAGAGCAGGAGAAGCATGGCCAAGGGAAATGACTTGGAGGTGGATTTAAGCAAATGATGAGCGTCCAGGGGCCAGAGTGGATGCTGGGACAACCAGGTGGGACGGTGAGGTTGGCTTCTAAGTCAGTGATGGCGAACCTATGACACGCGTGTCAGAGGTGACACGCGAACTCATTCTTTTGGGTTGATTTTTCTTTGTTAAATGGCATTTAAATATATAAAATAAATATCAAAAATATAAGTCTTTGTTTTACTGTGGTTGCAAATATCAAAAAATCTCTATATGTGACACGGCACCAGAGTTAAGTTAGGGTTTTTCAACATGCTGACACGCCGAGCTCAAAAGGTTCGCCGTCACTGCTCTAGGGTGACTGTGAGCGGGAGACACACAGCTGTTTCAGGCCTAAAGTGCAGTCAGACTGCCACTGGAAAGGCAACAAGCACCACACGGGGTTGTTGGAGGCTCGATGAGGATGAAACAGGCCTGAGAGGCTGACGGGGCTGCTGTCTTGCCCGATTCCAACTGCCAGCTCCAGCTGCTGAGTGAAGGCTCTCAGTGCTGCCGGGAGAGGGAGCCTGGGGCTGCATCCTGCCTCGGAGAAGAGAGTGCTGCGGCCCCTTGGCAATGTCTGCCTTAGGGAGGCCTGGGAGGCCCCAGGGCCCTCCTGACCTTAAACCGGTGGTCCTGAGCGGAGGTTCATTTAGAAATTCACGGGAGCATTTTCGGTCGTCACTGTGGCTTGGGGGGGATCTTAGCTCGGGCGGCGATCACAAATACCATGGACGGCATGGCTTACACAACAGACGTTTATTTCTCACATGCTGGAGGCAGGGAAGGTCAAGGTGGCAGCCGATTCAGCCCCTGGTGCAGGCCTTCTTCCTGGCTTGCAGATAGCCACCTTCTGGCTTCTTGCTCTGTCTGCATAGGATTGGGGGAGAGAGGTGCGCTCTTGTCTCTCTTCCTCTTCTCAGAACAGCAGTTCTCAACCTGTGGGTCGCG